AATAGGCATATTCGACAGTCATAGTAAAATCGGCCAATTAGTAGACAGATTTTGTAGAAAATGACTAGAAAATTGAAAAAAAAATAAAAACTCGATAAACTAATTTTACTCGAGTAAAATAAAATTTCATGGCTTAAATTAAACATAAATAAGCTATTGAAAATCTGCTCGCTCACCGTATTAGCTCGAAATAAAAAAAAATCAAACCTGTTTTTTGTCGACACTGAGAAAGTTCAACTGAAAATTTTAAGGTCCTTCGAATCATGACCGAAAGGGCTTCAATATGATATACCACTCGACCCATTCGGATTATTTTTTTCCTGATTTTGCGAGGAAAACAAAAAGAAAACTTTAAAACTAAAACACACCCGAATACTAAGTTCTTCCCCATTTTTTTCAAACAGTCGGAACAAAAAACAAGTATACAACGAATTAAAGAGACAGTCCACTAAGTTTAACCAGGCAAATTCCCCTTTATCTGCTACTCGCGAGGCGGATCAAAAAGCACAGTGATCTATGAGCAGAAAAACTGAAAAATATTAACATTTTTAAGCTATTCGGTAAAAAAAATTGAAATGTCAATATTACAGAAGAAACGAAGTTATTATACTTGATTTGAGAAATTTGATGTATAATTTTCGAATAATCAATTACTCAATTAATGTATAAATTAATCATTTACTGGGTAGTTTTGTCAATTATCATAATTTTATTACTCATTACCCCGTACAAACCAATAATTTTCTGCTTTCAGACCCTTTCTAATCTTGGACCACTCTGCTTATTGGCTGTCCAACAGCTTCTCAGTATCCAAAACTTCGTGAAAATAAGTTTTAACGGGACTGCGGTCTGTATTTAGACAGCCGAGTAGTAGTAGTATTCATACTCGTCAGTAAGCAGACAATTACCATATTAATCAATCAGAATCGAGATGAGAAATCAAATTTACGAAATAAATAATTATTAATTATTAACTTCTTCCTTGTCTCGATTTTGATTTGTTATTACAGTATTAGTCTAGTTACTGACGAGTCTGAATACGCGGTTGTCTAAATACGGCTAAGTAACCGTTTTAAAGTTAGTACTATATTACAAAATGGTGGTTACATAGCAGTATTTAGACAACCGCGTATTCAGACTCGTCAGTATTTAGACAAATACTGTTTCAACCAATCAGAATCGAGACAAAGAAATTAATTTTTTTTTTAGTCAACAGTTAATTAAAATTTGTATCTGAAAAATACAGAACAGAAACAGACACTTTCAATATAGTAAAAACGCACAGCATCAAACCATCCAAAACGGTGTGCAACGACAGGCCGAGTTGTGGTACTCGGGAACCGTGAACAAAGAAATTAATAAATAATTATTATTTATTTTGGATTATTTATGTCTTTTCTCGATTTTGATTAGTTCATACAGGGGACCGACCTTTTACCAGGTGACGTCCCATTTGTACCAACGGTCATTTGTACCAAAATTATTCAACTCGATTTCTGATTGGTCGAATTGTGAGCCAACGAAATATTACATTAATTTTCTACTGTTCAAACAGAAGAAAACTAAACAGCAGAATAGTGACTGCCGCAGTCGCGCCGTGTTGCGAGCTTGCCAACAGAGGGTAGCACTCTACACAAAAATTAGAGCCGGTTATTGCCGCGAAGCGTCGACGCGCGCGTAGCACGCCCACCGGCGACCTTAAACCAAGAGCTTAAAGTAGTCGGCTTAATAGTCTTAGGCCAATTGAATATTTTTGGTGCTAACGCAATTGATTTTTTATTTTGGTACAAATGGGACTGATTTATCATTTTGGTACTTGTGAATACCCACCCTTCCAGACCGACCTTTTACCAGAAAAGTTATAACATGGACCTTTTACCAGACTCGATAAACAAATTTGATTGACAGATGTATTGACGCCGTTTAGTCTGGTTAAAGACCATGATTTCACGGTTTTCTCAGCTAAGCTTTGTTTGTTCTAACCGCTTCCTTTGTGAATCTTCCACTAACTTAAATTTATCTCAATTGAAATAATGCATTGTGGTCTGGTAAGAGGTCGGTCTGTTAAAAGACCTAGCCCCGTTCATACAGTATTTGTCTAAATACTGACGAGGATGAATACGCGGTTGTCTAAATACAGGCTGCACTCCCAAATAGTGATAATGATCCTCCAAATCCAAATAGATATTCAGACTTTTCAGTTGCTGCGAAAAAATCAGACATTTCCCCTCCAAACGAATTATTGTTAAGAAGAAAACTAGTTTTGAAAAAAGAACAAATACGTCTGCTGTTTTATCTTTCACGATGTAAATTTTGTATAAACTTTTAAAATCTATATTTGATACTAAAAAACCAAATAAGAACAAAGCTTGATCCAATAGACTTGATGTAACACACAACAAAGATTCTGAAGAGACGCTGAAACAAATGCACTATGACATGACGACACCAGACTTTTAGAATTAGTTTAGTTCTTCATTTGTTCATTTGTTATAATCTAAATGTACAAATTGCTGTCCATTCTGATTTACATACATGATATCTGTTCTATCTTGAATTTTAATTCAATTTAAATTCGGAGAGAGACTTTAAGGTGGAATGAATAAAGCTAAACTAACCAGGCTTAGTGCCTTCTAAGAAAACAATGTGCAATTCGACCAGAATGCCGTCAGAAAATGGTTCGTCAAACGAATTTTATTTAGCCTGGTTCGATTTAAGAAAGAGCAGTTTCTACGATTAACCGGGCAAGGGTCACTTTTGGATTACATGTTTATTTTCAAAATTTTTCTACGTATCAGCAGGTCAAAAGCATCATAGTAACCAAGGTTACAGTCAGAAGTCCCTTCATCACATATTCCTGTCAAAATCCTTGGAATTGTTGTGATAAACTTATTAAATAGATTCCTCTTCCCTCGTTCAAACTGTGTGTTTTCAGAAAAGTTGTAGCTAGGAACAAGAACACCTTATTCGAAACGAAAAAAGTCCCGTCCGTTCCTAGCTAGTGTAACATTCGCCCGGAAGATACATATCGACGGATAACAAAACTAAGTCTTAAGACGACTGGCTAGCGTCTAAACAAAGCTTTGCATGTTTTTCACCGTCTCTACCAAGCCAGTACTTTTCGGTGGTCTTTTCCAACATCGGGTCGACAAAAACGTTACTGTTCTCCGGCTTCGACCAGAACGCTCAAATTAACTGAATTACATGCAAAAATAGTGAGCTCATGGCTGGGTCTCAGTATCCCCAGACCACGAGGTCACTCCTAAAAACAGGGCTACTACTTATTATATTACTATTGTTTTTGTTCAGTAGATAAAAATCATCATCTCCATCGAAGATGGATCAACCCTTTCCCCCCCAACTCTCAGCACCTCATCCTTGTCAAAACTAATTCAAATATCAGTTAAATTCAAGTCAGGACATGACAGGATGCTAAAAGTTTATCAGAGTTAATAAAAATCTCCGTCCCTGAAACCTTCAATATTATCAAAAGACTCAACACAGCATCAAAAAAAGTAGCCTTTAAAAATACTCATACTAATAACCGCAATCTTGAAAGACTTAAAAACCTTGTAGATCATTTATCCGAATTAGATCAGGAAAATTTCGAAGAATCAACTTTCAAGGGCAGAAATTTCTCAAAGCTCCAAAAATACTTTAAAAGCATACGAAAAAACTCAAGTACTCCAAAAACAATGTACTGGAATGAAAAAACCGAATCAACAGAGCACGGTAAAGCTAATCTTCTAAACAATTACTTCGTAAGCGTTTTTAACATTCAACAGAATGAAAACATTTTACCAATAGCTGAATTACCTGGCTCAATCAAAAGCTTCAATTTCTCTGAAAATGAAATATACGACATCCTTAAAACATTAAACCTCCAAAAAGCAAGAGGACCAGATAGACTCGGTAACACAGTCCTAACCAATTTAGCAGGTAGCATAACTTCATCTCTAAAACTGATTTATAACACCATCACCAACAAAGCAACATTTCCAACGATCTGGAAACTTAGCCAAATCATCCCAACTTTTAAAAATGGAAATAAGCAATCGTTCACAAACTACAGGCCCATCAGCCTGCTAACTGCAGTATCCAAAGTCTTAGAGAAACTGATCTTCCTTAAAATGTCACCAAAGATCTTCTCGCAAATCCATGACAGCCAACTTGGCTTCTGTCCTAAACGATCGACAACTCTGCAAATGCTCCAATTCCTCGACAAAATCTATGATGACTTTGATAACCCTAATATCAAGTCTCTACAGGCAATATACTTAGACTTCGAAAAGGCTTTCGACAAAGTTCCTCACGACTTGTGCATATATAAACTCAATAAATGTGGCATATCAGGAAACGCACTTAAACTATTAGCAAACTACTTAACCAACAGAAAACAGCAAGTACGAATAGGTGCGGCAGTATCCAGCCATCTTGAAGTTTGTAGCGGCGTACCTCAAGGCTCACTGTTAGGGCCAGTATTCTTCATTACATTCATCAACGATTTACCGTCATCACTCACCAACTCGTGCTATGGTTACGCAGACGATTATAAAATTGTTGCAACGAACCCTTCCCTGCTCTAACATGACCTAATCACGATCAACTTATGGTGCAAAGATAATTCCATGAGTCTTAATTTGAAAAAATGTCACAATATAATCTTCAAAGACCCCCAACTTGACCTAAACATGTATCTCGTTGACCAAATACTTGAAAAAACCAGTTCAGAGAAAGACCATAGAAGATAATGGGTAACCATGCACATCCATGCATGATTTGCATGGAAAATGACTACTCATACGTAGCTCATACGTTGGTTTCGAAAACCCTCAAAATAGCTTTTTAATTGAGTAAAATAGTAATAAAATGGTTTCTCATCGATATGCAAGCTGTTTGTAAAATATCAAAACCTTTCACCATGCAAATCATACGTCGCAACATATATGGTGCTACGTATGGAAGAGATTTTTCACCATATTATTTTTTCTTTTAGCCTAATTGTTGTGATAAACTTATTAAATAGATTTGTTATGTTTGATGTTTGTGCCTGTATGTGGAGCGCCCTCTGAGGGATTTTAGAGACAGGCCTGTCAAGTGGCTTTCTGTGGGGAGGTGGGAAACTGGAACTGGCTTGAGGAGTCTGGTGGTGCGCCGCTGGACCTACTGAGCTCGGGTGAGATTGTTCCTTGTTTTTGACTTTTATAATTCGATTTTAAAATTTAAATTAATTTAGTTGTCTTTTTTTTTATTTGCTGATTTGTAAAATTCCCACTAACCGCTTATCATGGGTTAGTTCAGTCCGCTAAAGTCCAGTCAAAATCCTTTTTTTTACCTTTATGCTGCGTCAAGATGAGGAAATGTGATATTCAATCAGAATGGATCAAAATGCAGATTCAGCATATTCGAGTTTTTAGCAGTGAGCCTCCCGAGTTGGTGATTTTGAGGGAGTAGGTGCGTTATTGGATCGATTGGCCAAACGGTGAGGGCTAGAATATTCTGGTATTTTGAAATTTTAAAAAAAAAATCGATTTATGACGTCATATTTCTGGGAATCGGCGAACATGCAATCGGCGAACTTTGCCGAAAAGAATTGCTCGACGAAAAATTTAAGGAGCTTGAAAAAATCTCGGATGTCATTGACAAACTAGACACCCAATATGGATTTTATCTCCTGAAAAATTGCCTTAGCATGCCAAAACTCCTATATTGTTTGCGTACAAGCCCTTGTTTTTTGCAAACTGATTTTTTGGAACGCTACGATAACTTACTAAGAAATTCGTTATGCAAGGTCACTAACGTGAAAATGGACGATAACCAGTTTTTACAAGCATTTCTCCCGGCAGCCAAAGGTGGCTTGGGCGTTTCTTCCGCTCGTCTACTCGCTTTACCCACTTTCTTAGCCTCAGCAGTAGGAGCAAAAGATGCCTTGAGCGAAATTTTTGGTTTGGAGCATGTGGATGTAACCTATGATGATGCGCTTAAACAGTGGTTTGACCTTGGAAAAATTGAAATGGCTCCGGAAAATGAAATTCAAAAAAATTGGACGGAGCCAATTTTTGACGGCGAAATTGCAGACTTGATTTTACGACTCGAACCAACGGACGTAAGAAGGTTCAACGCGTTCCAAGATAGATTTGGCTCCCAATGGTTGAACTTCATCCCTTGCAAAAATTTAAGGTTAAAACTGTCGAAACAACAACTAAGAATTGCGATAGGACTTCGATTAGGATCAAAAATATGCGAACGGCATAAATGCGTGTGCGGAAAAGACGTTACCGAGGATGGTTGACATGGTCTTTCTTGTCTCAAAAGTGCAGGGAGATTCTCTAGGCATTCAAACCTGAATGCCTTTATAAAGCAGAGTCTTTCATCTAGCCACATTCCGTCTGTTTTAGAACCACGACACCTCTACAGGACCGATCAGAAGCGACCAGACGGTTTGACGATCATTCCATGGGCTGATGGTAAGCAGCTCTTGTGGGATGTAACGGTAGTAGACTCCTTAGCTCCTTGTAGGATTAATGCCGGGTCTGTTTGTAACCCTGGTACGGCTGCCGCTGAAGCGGAAGAGCGAAAAATTGACAAGTATAAAGATCTTGTAAATGATGGATATCTTTTTCAACCGCTAGCTTTTGAAATTCAGGGCGCGGCCGGCCCCAGCACAGAAGTTTTTTTGAGCAAGCTTTGTAAGAACGTAAGCGTATGCACCGAGGAACTCAGAGCAGGCAGCTTTTTAAAACAGAGAATCTCCCTTGGCAATACAGATTGTGAACGCCGCTTGCGTACTCGGAACAATAATTGACAAAATAACTTTCGACGAAATTTTTTACTTGTAACACTTGTATATTATTTTATCTCGTGTCGAGTTGCGTGTTCTTATTGAAGAAACGTAACCTGTATCGATTTTAATTGAAAAGGACTTAAGCACTTGTCATCTTCTTTTATCATTATCACTTCCATATCTAGAAAATTCCAAGTGTTTTGACTCGAATACATGATGAAGGGACTCATGACTGTAACCTCGGTTACTATGATACTTTTGACCTTCTGATTACCTTAAAAAAAGAAGAAAAAGAAGAAGAAAAATAATAAAATAAAAAGAAAATAAATTTTTTCTCCAGAAAACCGTAAAATAGAGGTTAATTGACAACAATGACTGAGAAAAAGTACAAATTACAGTTTTATTAGATTTGATTTTTTTCTACCATGCAACCATACGTCAAACCATAAATGGCGCTATTTATGGAAACGATGTTTCCTTACAAAAACAACTTCAATAGAGCAGGCAACAGCACAACCAAAATTGACGAAAATTTTGTATATTTCGAGGTTTATTTGCATTTTAAAATTTTGAGGGGGTAAACTGAGAACATACATTTGGAAAAAAAAATGCGCGAAGATCGGTGAAAAATGTTTGATTTTCAATTTTCCTAAAATTTTTCTCATTCCGGAGCAAAGCTTTATTTGGTACGTCTTGAAACGAATTACAATAAAACTCTGTCTTAAACAAATCGTGTCCGTGTGCCAGTCGGTCATATCTGGAAGTTTGACCTTGAGGAATACGAAATACGTGGTTTTCGAATGAAGTTTAATTTTTCAAAAATTCGAATGGAGCCTGTCATGCTCAGTTTTCTCGCGACAAGTGAAAACATCAAATATAAAATCAGAACAACCGAATTACAATTGCGGGAAAGTTATCAAATAAAGACAGTGGGAAATTGCTATTCGCAATTTCCGTCGTAGAAAACGAGAGTAGAGCTGTCCTATCTGACATAGGAGACAGAACAATCACAAGAGCAAATCGAAACTCAACCGAACCAGAGTGAACCTTCAATGGAAAGGTAGACAACTGAAGTCTCCCAATGGTTCAGATCCAAAACTATATTCTCAAGTTAAAACTCATTTCCTTTGATTGGAACTCATTGTTAGAAAACTTCTCGAGTTATACCCAATTATATTCATGCTAGAGTTATTATTTAGCTTAATTACTCTGTTTCTCAAGTGTGCTGCTATGTAAGTACCTAATTTAATTTTCCCGAGTGCATTTTATGACAAGTATTATGAGGTAAGGCAAGTTTTAGGTTGATCCATCTGAAATTAATCAAAGTTCCACTGTCTAATAAAAAGTAACTTAACGGATTGTTCCGACCCTGTTTTTAACGGCGTTCGTGTATTTTGGGTATTTTGAGACCTAAGTATGGGGACGTTCTTATTTTCTAGAGTGGGGAGGGTATTTTGTTAGTGGCCTTTAAGCTGTAACGGGTTCTAGTCTCATGTTGCAAGTGAACCGAATTGGCTCCGACCGTTTTTGAGGTAGAAAAACACAAGAGATAGTGTCCCTGAATCTTGAGCCAATGGTTATAGGGCCTATTTTTCTTAAGCCTCAGATGTGACCGAAGTAGGCGACTGTTACATAGTGTTTTTATGGCGCTCCCAGGTGTTTTACGACATCATGACTACTGAGTCGAACACACTTGACACAGCTCCGGGCTACATGCCCATTCTAGAGTACCGGTAGTACGGTTCAGCGGGAACGTGTAAACCTTTCGGTTGCGCCGTGATAGCTTTTTAAGAAAACTTGAGAAAACTTCCTGGTACGCTCTCCGAACGAGGCTTAGCTAACCGAGTAAGGGGGTAACTAGGGTGACAAAAACACGAGCAAAAAGACAAAAAGCGAAACAAAAACAAAAAAAAGGAACAGAAAAAGGAACAAAAACCATAAAACAAAAAAGACAGTGACACCAAGAGGAGGACGAACAGGGGTGTTCTCAAGTTGGACAAACGGGTATTGTTAAATTCCACATTATATTATAGGAAATAAGTGTAAAATTGGATAAGCGGAGCCCCATTGTTTTGAGGAAGTTTTTACTCAAGCAGGCCTGGAAACAGGTCTACGGTTTTCTCTCGAGAGGTTTAGCACCCAGCGCTTAAGGGAATTTTCGGCTTAAGAGGGCGGCTAAAGAGGGGGGAGGTTAGAAGGGGGGCTGGTTAGGTTAAAGGTTGGTGGTTGTAAAGTGTAAAAAGGGGGAACACATTAGAGTAACTAATTGTTCGGCATCGTCGATTTAGTTACATTAGATACTTACACGCGTTGGTGATAAGAAGCGGATATCCAAATTTAACCGAATTAAGGTAGGTTCCCTGGTCGGATCGGTAGGGGGGAACGAAAATAGACAGTTTCTGTGATACCCCATAAGATCGCTAGCAGGGGGGAGGAAAACGCGTGGCAATCGGGTACCAGACGTTTTTTCGGACAAAGGTTGACATCTGTCAGCTTTGAATTTTAGGTGGGTTCATCTCTCTGTTTTTATAATTTTTCCTGTTTAAATTTTTACGTTTTGGTGAGAATTTGTTATTGGTATTTGAACGAACAGGTGATCACAAGATAACTGCGAAGAAGTTGGGGTTTCAAAATGCCTGAAACAACGAAAGGGAGACAAATACAGGGGGATCAGTATTTGAAGCTGTTGGCCATTAAGATAGGGTTTTTGGGAAAATTTTTACTAGAGCTCAAGTGGTGGTACACGGTACAGTGGTTCGAGAGTCCCCACAACGAAGAGGAAGAAATCCTACTATCCAGACACTTGGTGACAAGTCCTGGGACAGTACCGAAGAAATCTTGGGACATTGCAGTCTGGGGACGGTCTTGGAGCAGTGCAGTCTTGGGACAGTCTTGGGACAGTGCAGTCTTGGGACAGTCTTGGGACGATGCAGTCTTGGGACAGTCTTGGGCCAGAGCAGTCTTGGTACGGTCTTGGGGCAATACAGCCTTTGGACACTGGTCTTGGGGCAGTGGTTTTGGGACAGTAGTCTTGGGACAGTGGTCTTGGGACAGTGGTCTTGTGACAGTGGTCTTGGGAGGTTGGTCTTGGGACAGTGGTCTTGGGACAGTAGTCTTGGGACACTAGTATTGGGACAGTAGTCTTGGGACAATAGTCTTGGGACAATAGTCTTGGGACACTAGTCTTGGGACAGTAGTCTTGGGACAGTAGTCTTGGGACAGTAGTCTTGGGACACTAGTCT